ATAGGAAGACTTAGAAGAACGCACCTAGTCCGGAGTCCATTGTATGCATCATTATTTCCAGAGTAGGACCGTGGACGCAGTACATTCCCAGACGTTTCGCCGGCATCGTAGTCGCTATCGTCAGTGAGTCTTGTCTCTTTTACGAGTTGTAATATGGTGCTACGAATGGTGAGACTCACTGACGATGCCAAATACGATGCCAGCGAAACGTTTAGGAATGTACCACGTCCACGGTCCTACTCTGAAAATGATGATGCATACAATGGACTTCGGACTAGGTGAGTTCCTATAAGTCTTTCTAACAATATGACCAAGTTGCGAAAACAAGGTCAAACAACTTGTTGGTTTATTGTTTTTTCTGAATTTTGTCAAAATTTTGCTACTCGCTCCGAATACGTATGACGTTGCAAAGGGAAGCTCATCATAGATTAATCAGAGTCGAGGGACGCTGCGACGAGGACCCGAAGGAGAAAACTGATAACAAGAACTTTAATAAAATCATTTTTCGGGTTCTTGGGAAGCTGACATATGAATTATTTTCACGTCTTACATCGGCATACTAGATAGAATGAAGCTAAAATGATTAGTAAAGGCAAATTATTGGCCAGGTGCGAACAGACCAATCAGGAATTTCAAACTATAGTTGCCATAGACAGATTTTGAGATCATAGGACAGATTAACTGAATTAACTTTAAAGATATGATAAAGACTTATCATTTCATATTGTAACCCAAACCATTAAGCCTAATATCTTAAGAGACCTACAGTGGTCAATAAACTTACTGTAAACAAGTTCAGTTTTGACTTATTTAATAGAAATGGAAGAGTAAAGAGTGAAAAGTAAATTTAAAATCCAACGACGACAACATGCAGCTTGTAAAGACTCACAGGTCATATCGCGACCTCCAGGAGTATATATGTGCTCCAGCATCGCACGAACATCATCGACATTGTCTTCCGGCATAGAAACTATATTGTTGGAATTTTCCTAGAAAAATTAAATATTAAAGATATGGTTAGTAGGGATAAACCATAAGAGCCGGATTAAAACTTCATGAATAACTATTGAATAAATGGAAAATAAATAGAATAAACGCATTTAAATATATGATCTACTCAAGGTTTCGAAATCCTATCTATAAACGAAAAATAACTAATGCAATATTAAATACAACCTTGCTTATTCGACAATCTCACCACAGAATGTGATGTAGGAAAAGGGCTGGACTTCTTTAAAATTCACATCGGCCCTGTTACCCAAGGGCACCCGTGACAGTGAGGCGTAGTGGTTAACGTGTCGAGTAAGGATATTCAATAGTTTGTTAGTAAAGATTGTTGCTTTGTGAGGATATTCTTAAACTAGACCAAATTTTAAGGCTACTTGTGGCCGTCACAAACATAGATTAGATATGAAATAAATAAAAATAATAGTAACAAGTTCATTCTCCCATTTTATAGCTTGGCAAGCCTCAGTGGCTCAGCACCACTCCAACATATTTATAAATACACGTGATGAATTCAATTCTATAAAGGATAATCTTAGGAGAAACGATAACTCAAAATGAGAAATTCCTCTAAGCATATAAATATTGGAGAGTCGACTGATCAGAAAGAGCAAATACCCACCGAGTACATACGGTAACAAAACTTCACATGCATAATCGACTTTAATGCAATTCTCCTTACGAGTTCTTATTCAAGAAATGATGATGTTTAGAGTACTTACAGCAAAAATAAGTTAATCGAAGATATGTAGACCAAGATGAGGTGGTCCCCGGTATGATCGCAGTCTACTTTCAATTCATATAAGTGGGTTGACCTCGTTTTCGCAACTTTGTCATGTTGTCAGGGCGACTTAGTAGAACGCAGATTGCCCGAATTGCCCTGCCATAGAAATCACCATAATTCCAAGCATCATACAGTGGACTTAGTACATTCTCAAACGTGTCGCCGACATAGTAGTCGGCATCATCAGTGAGTTTTGCCATTCTCTGCACCAAGCTACGAACTCGTCAAAGAGACAAGTGA